CGGCTGGCGATGGTTCGCCGCAGAGCCCTGACGGCGTGCATGCTGACGTCAGAGCACTAACGACACGAGCTCGACACGGCGTGAAGGAGACGATCTTCCCCTTTTTGCGGATGCCGAGCACACAGCGATGCGCGACAAGCCAAGGTAGGTTTGAGTTCTGCCGGAACAACGCTCGCCAGAAACTAAGGTGCCGTGTTCTGCCTTGGTCGAGAATGGCAGGTTGCGGAGGCAATTCATAGACGCGAACGCAGCGGAGCGTGGGTGTGATGGCGGATCTGGGCAGGCTGGGCATAGCGCGGGGAATGGGGAGGTAAGCGGGAGTAGCTCGGCGGGGTCGCAAGCGGAATGCTGGGCGCTAAGGGCAACTCGACGGGGAGTGGGGAAGGAGTGGCTACTGGGGAGGGATCGCGGATTCTCCCGCTCCCTCCCCCTCACCTCCACCCCTCTTCCCCTACTTCCGCGCCAGCCCCTTGATTTCGCGAATTTGGCGAATAAGGTGGCGTCAACGGAATGCACACGCCCACGTGGCAACCATCGACAGGTCTTTAGTTCACGCGCACGAATATCTGTGAATAAAAATCGCTATTAGTAGGCTGTCTTGAAGGGAGCCGGATATTCGTATGCTGAAACAATATGATAAAGTCTGCACCCTTACGGTATATTTTTTGGGAAGAAGGGTTTATTCATATATTCACGTCAAATGTATCACTCACACTTCCTATACAGGGAAACCGAATCTCTCAAACCTGAGTCAATGCGTAAACCCCACTGCTGCCTTCTGACAGGCCTGTCTCAGCTTTTCCCGCCAATCACCACCACATCCCCCACCCAAGCCACTTCACTTCACACGCCACCCTCGATTTCATCATCCCTCGTCATCCGCACTAGACTAGCTTCCTCCTGGCAGCTTCTTCGAAAGGCTGACGTACGTATATAAGGCGACGGTCGCGGCACTGTGGAGCACAACGTGTCCCGCTCGTCAGAAAACGAGCTTTCGGTAGGCTTGTAACTTTTTTACAATCTCAGGCCCCTCCGTTCCTCGCTAATTCCGTCCGTCGTTTCTGCTGTGTCTGCATAGTCGCGTCCCCTGCGTGCCCGCAATGGCCCTTCCGCTCGCCGCCTTTCGGTTGTTCCGAGTGAGCCCGTTTGCATCGGTCGCTCGAAGGTCGTCACCCCCCCTGCAATGCCGCTCCCTCTTTCGTTCATTCCCCCCCGCCAGCCCCTTCCCCCTCCGCCATCCGCCGATGGTTAGCAAGGTCGAGATTCTCCGCCAACGCCGCCTCGTCTCCGACGCGGAAGCCGCCCGCGCCGATGCCTCCGCGCTCATGCCGCGCGGGGAGGCTTCCGCGCACCTGGACTCCGCCGCACTCGGTCAGGGCGGGGCGGAACCCACGGGGTCGGAAGGCGGAACCCCTCGCGCGGGAGCGGACATGGAGGGCATCGCGCGGCGGAGCAGCTTGACGGGGGAGATGAAGCGCGAGATTTGCGAGTTGAAGCAGCGCAGCGACAAGATGTCGCAAGACATGATCGTGGCGGAGATAGAGGCGCGCCACGGCGTGCGCCTCAGCCGCACGACTGTGTGCAAGATCCTCAAGGACTCCCCCAAGTGGCTCCACCTCTCCGACGCTGAGGCTCGGCAGAAGCGCCAGAGGCTCGGCAAATTCCCGGACCTGGAGGACGAGCTCATCGATTGGTTTCGAGAGGTGCAGTGCGGCGCTGAGCTGTTTGGCACATTTGTCCATACCACACATTTCTAGATTCCCTCCTTCCCCAGTGTTCTTACAAGGTGCAGCTTGTGCATGCGTGCCTGGCAGATCATATCGCAGCGACCCAATATAGTGGACTCCATTATAGTGGACAAGGCGCGGCAGCTGGCGGGGGAGCGGGGCATCGCGGCGGGCGAGTTCAAGATGTCGGACGGCTGGCTCAGCCGCTTCAAGCGCCGCATCAGCGCCGCCATCCAGCAGCAGCCCGCCAGCAGCCGTGAGTGGGGTAGCGGTAGCGGCGATGGGGGGGATAATGCGTGGGTTGGTGCACAGAGATCGTGTAGGCGCTTGAGGCACACGGCGCTGAGCGGTCCTCACATGGCACGTGGCAGTGAATGCAGCGCGGCACGCACAGGAGGCAGAGCACACAGCAACCGCATGTCTGCATCCCACCTTTATGTGTGCGTGTGCGCGCAGGGGACGCGCAGGAGGAGCAGCTGGCAGGGCGGGCAGGGGAGGGCGACGACAGCGACGAGGATGCACCGCCCAGTAGGAAGGTGCGTGTGTTGGGGGGGTGAGAGTGACGTGCAAGGGCGGGCTGCGGGTGTGGCAAGGCGCTGTGTCTGCCTGGTGCACTGGTTCCTGTGAATGCAGTGTGGCAAGGCGCTGTGTGTGCCTGGTGCACTGGTTCCTGTGAATGCAGTGTGGCAAGGCGCTGTGTCTGCCTGGTGCACTGGTTCCTGTGAATGCAGTGTGGCAAGGCGCTGTGTCTGCCTGGTGCACTGGTTCCTGTGAATGCAGTGTGGCAAGGCGCTGTGTCTGCCTGGTGCACTGGTTCCTGTGAATGCAGTGTGGCAAGGCGCTGTGTCTGCCTGGTGCACTGGTTCCTGTGAATGCAGTGTGGCAAGGCGCTGTGTCTGCCTGGTGCACTGGTTCCTGTGAATGCAGTGTGGCAAGGCGCTGTGTCTGCCTGGTGCACTGGTTCCTGTGAATGCAGTGTGGCACACAGCAGCCAGTCCATGCCATGCCATTAACCTCTCTCTCACCCTCCCGCCCTGCTCCCTTTCCCCGTCTCTTCCGCCACTCCTCTCCCTTTCCTTCTCCCACAGCGCACGCGGTGGAACCCCACCACGTACCGTCAGTCCTTCTCCTTCGTGCCCACGCTCGGCCTGCCCGTCGTCGACCTGCTCGCCCCGCTCCCAGGTACACCTGCCTCGCCTCTTGCCTGTACATTGGTGTGTTTTTCGTGTTGAATGACGCAGGGTGAAAGGGATGGGATTGCCTGTTGATCCCACTTCTCTACGCTGTTTCCGTGAACACTCCTCCCCACCCTCCCTCCCCACACACATCCTCTCACCCCAGGCGAGCGAGTGTTGGACCTGGGGTGTGGCGAGGGCACGCTGTCCAAGTTCCTGTCAGCGCTGGGGTGCCACGTGGTGGGTGTGGATTCGTCACCTGACATGGTGGAGATGGCACGCCGCGACGGGGTCAACGCCATTCTTGCTGACGCCTGCCAGCTGCAGTGAGTTCTCGATAAGGCCACCTGTACTGAGTGAGTGCTGGCTGGTTTTCGTTTTGAAGCGTGCACCAGAGCGTGTTCTTATCGCACTGACTGCTTTATGCTGTGCATGACTTGGCTCCGCTGCTCTTCACTGCCTTGCCGTGACCTGCTGCACTGCCTCCGCCACCCGCCCTTCCCGTGTGAGCGCTCATCCATTGCTCCCGCATTCACCCACCCTTCCACCCCCCCAGGTTTTCATCGGAGTTTGACTGTGTGTTCAGCAATGCGGCGCTGCACTGGATGAAACGCGACCCCTCCCTGGTCGTCGCCAACGTGCGCGCCGCCCTCAAGCCCGGCGGCAGGTCAGGCTCCACCCCGCCCCACCCCCTTCGCCGCCACCTTGGCCGCACCACCACTCTGTTGCGTGCTCCTCTCTCCAAGCACCCGCAGTACTATCTTTGCTGCAACATGGCACCCCCCACTCCTCTCCACCCCCCCCTCACACATTGTCCACCCGCATTGCCTTCCTCACCCTTCTCCCCTCTCGTCCCTCCTCCCTTCCCCTCTCCCTCCCCCAGGTTCGTGGCGGAGATGGGGGGTTTTGGCAACGTGGCATCGGTGGTGACGGCGCTGGTGGCGGTGCTGCGGTCTCGGGGAATAGACGCGGCGGCCATGGTGCCGTGGTACTTTCCCACGCAGGAGGAATACAGGTGCGCGCGCCCACACCACAAGGCCTGGGGTAGAGGGAGGCGAGGAAGCAAGGGTTGTGCTTTCAGGGGAAGGGAAAGGCTTAAGTGAGATTCATTGTTTGTTTGAAAAGGATGAGTGGCAGCGGGGCGAGGCTGGGTGGCATGGAAAGGGAGGCGCTCCTCTGTGTCTTCCTGTGCTCATTGCCCCCCCTGGCTTCTACCCGCCCTGCCTTCTCTCCCTCAACCGCCCGCCATGTTTCCCCCCACAGCAGGCAGCTGCTGGAGCTGCACGGCTTCGAGGTGGCGCACATGGAGGTGGTGGCACTGAGGCGCCTGATGAAGTCTGCTTGGCTCCCACCCACCTTGCAAACCCCCCATCCTCCCCCCCACTCCACACCTCCCCCCCTCACAGGCAGCTGCTGGAGCTGCACGGCTTCGAGGTGGAGCACATGGAGGTGGTGGCGCGCCCCACGCTGCTGCCGGACGGCGTGGCCAGCTGGCTGGACGCATTCGCGCAGAGCTTCTTCCACGGGCTCAGCGAGGCGGACAAGAACGCCGTGTACGACGACGTGCAGCTCGCCCTGCACCCCACCCTGTGTGACTCCGAGGGCCGCTGGTTCGCTGACTATGTGCGCCTGCGCTTCCGCGCCTCCCTGCCTGCGGCTCCTCCGGCGATGGGGGAGGCTGCTGGGCTGCAGGAGGCGGGGCAGGCGGTGGGCGTGCAGGGCGAGCAGGGAGGGCACGGAGGGGAGGCAGTGCAAGAGGGTGGCAACTGATGGGGGGGTGCAGGTATGGAAAGAGAGCCACTAGTGTTCTCCTGTACAGTTTTTATGAAACACTGGAAAGGTTGTGTTAGTTCTTATGAGGTGTGCACGGAAAACATCTGTTAGTTGCTTAGCGATTGAAACAATTCTGTTGTTTTCCGTATCAAAGCTAAGGCAATTGTGTACCGGACAGCGAGGGGATACGATTAACAGTGTTACTGATTAGGAATCAGATGGCAAGGCAATGTTCTGAAAGCTGCAGAATTCAGCAGTTAGTCAGCCAGCGCTGTCTTGTCGCACATATTGCCCTGCTCTTGCACATATTGCCTTGCTCTTGCTCTCACAACTCCTCATGCCCTAGCTCCTCCTCATCCTCCTCCTCCCCGCCCTCCTCGCCCTCCTCCACGCCATCAACAGCCTCCACCGCAATCTCCTCCAGCCCCTCCAAGTCCTCATATGCTGTGTCCACCTCGTACCCCGCCCAATCCCCCGCCTCCTCCCCTCCCTCCCCTCCCTCCTCTCCACCCTCCTCTCCCTCCTCTCTCTCCTGTTCTCCCTCACTCACTCCATCCATATCATCCACTCCCCCCTCCTCCTCTTCTGTCATAGCCTCCCTCACCGGCCCCTCCTCTGGTCGAGGGGCTGAATGGAAGCCGGTGAATCGCAGCGTGCCACGAGGCGCGGAGGGTGGGAGGTCGTCGAACTCCCCTCGGGTGACTCTCTCTGTGAAGTGCCGCTGCTCCTCGTCCAGCGCCCCCCACTCCGCCACTATGCGCCTCGCCCCCTGCCATGCACCATGCAGGGCCACAGGCATAGGCGCATGCGAAGGCATCAGTGAAGGCAAAAGCAGAATTGTATTCAAGTTCGAGGTCAAGGGAGGGAGTCAGAAGGGGCAGAATGGAGAGGAGATTTAGGGGGGGTTGTTGCACTGACCTGCAGCTTGGGTTCCTTGGTCATGGGGTTGTTGCAGAGGTCGATGGTCTTGGCACGGGCCTTGGTGGCGTTGCCACACCACGACTCACACCACAGCCACTCCTGTGGCAGCGACAGGATCGGCACCGTGTGCTGCGCGTAGTTCGGTAGGTCCTGATACAGGGGGAGGGGGGAGAGAGAGGGGGGAGACGGTTGGAGGGAAGAGGAAAGAGGGCGAGTGGGGAGAGGAGTTACAGGAAGAGGGGAACGGAGAGTTGGTACTGGGTGCATATGAGAGGTGGTGGTGCAGGTGAGAGGTGGTACCTGGTGCAGATGAGAGGTGGGGGAGGCAGTACCTGGTGCAGATGAGAGGTGGGGGAGGCAGTACCTGGTGCAGGTGAGAGGTGGGGGAAGCAGCACCTGGTGTGGGTGAGAGGTGGGGGAGGTGGCACCTGGTGCAGGTGAGAGGTGGAGGAAGTGGCACCTGATGCAGGTGAGAGGAGGGGGAGGCGGCACCTGGTGCAGGTGAGAGGAGGGGGAGGCTAGACCTGGTCGAGGTTGGCGAGGGAGTTGGGGTCCTTGCTGAGGCTCTCGTAGATCACTCTCAGCGTGTCGCCCGCTGCCATGCGCCGGAAGCGCACCAGATCCACCACATACAGGGCGCTGCCAGATGCACATGTGCATGTGGATGGGGGGTTAGGTGGGTGGTGCGGTGGGGTGGTGGGGAGTTGATAAGTGGGGTGAAGAGAGGAAGCGCACCAGATCCACCACGTACAGGGCGCTGCCACGTGGACGCACGTGGGTGGGGGGGGGGTTAGGTGGGTGGTGGGTGAAAGGTGGGAAATTTGAGGGTAAGGTAATAAGAGTAAGTGCGCATAGGCACAGATGACAAAGCAGCAGAGGTGGGGAGAAAGAGGTCAGGTTCAAACAGGCGTGGTAGGGTGGTGTTGTGCTGCATCTGCTCCCTCACTGCCTCACCTAATGTGGTACGGCTTTCCTCTCAAATGATCCCTCCAGAAGCCCTGCACTCATGCAACAAGGGAAGCCAGGAACGATAGATTCTGAGTGAGTGGTACAGGATAATAAAATACCATCCTGAATGCGTCCTGTTTTCTACTGCCCACGAACTTGTTTCAGAACCCATAGCCCGGACCCCACCTGCTTCCAGAAGCGGTAGCCCTCCATGTCGCGGTTGTTGTCGCACATGGGCGTGTACGCGAGGGGGTGGCCGTGCAGTGGCATGTCGTACAGCCGCCCCATGTCCTCCCTCACCACCTGATCCGCGTCCACGAATATCACCTGGTGGGGGGGGGGAGGGGTGGGAGGGTGGGTGGGGAAGAAGAATGCAAAGCTTGATTAACAGGTGTTAGAACCACAGCATGCAGGAGAGGCACGCACTTAACAACAAGGCTTGGTGGGTGCAAGCAGGGACAACACGGCAACGGAATTCTGGAGGTGATATGTGAGCAACACCGCACAGCACAGCACAGCACAGCACAGCACAGCACAGCACAGCACAGCACAGCACAGCACAGCACAGCACAGCACAGCACAGCACAGCACAGCACAGCACAGCACAGCACAGCACAGCACAACGCAGTCCATCACGCGGGCGAGGAACACTGCTTGCAGATGTGAGAGGGAGCACTGCTTGCAGATGTGAGAGGGAGCACTGCTTGCAGATGTGAGAGGGAGCACTGCTTGCAGATGTGAGAGGGAGCACTGCTTGCAGATGTGAGAGGGAGCGGAGCAGGGGGATGGCAGCGAAGGTGGCAGCGAGAGAGAAAGAGGGGCGACCTTTTGCAGGGAGAGGGGGAAGATGACATCGAGGAAGAGGATCTTGTAGGCCCAGATGAGGCGCTGCTTCTCCGTCTGCTTGTGCAGCCATGACGGCCACTTGTACGTGATCAGCCCGTACTCAAACCCGTACTCGCGCGCCATGTGCGGTATCACCTCCTGCACCGTGGGGCAGGGGGAGGGCGAGCGCATGGAGAGGGGTGGAGAGGTGGGCGGATGTGGGTATGAGCGCGTGGAGGTGTGCACACTGGAGGGCAGGCGTGGCTAAAGGTGTGAATGTGTGCGGTCAAATTGGAGCATGCTTCAATGGGAGGAGAGTTGATTTTGACAGCAAGGTAAACTCCATACGAGACGGGGATTTGTAAGCAGAAGCTTTAGAAGGAAAAAAAACGGAGAAAGCATGCACGGCAGGGGGGAGTCACCTTGAAGGAGGGCGAGAGGTAGTTCTTGATGAACCAAAACTTGACCGGGCGACGCGTGTTCTTGAGCACAGAGAGAATCATGATGCGCGTGAACCGCTCGTACCTGCCGGGGCGGGTGGAACCGGGTGGGGAAGGGAGGGAAGGAGAGGAGAAGGACGTGGGACGTGGTATTTAACCGAGGAGTGATCCAGCACGGATGGGTCAAGGAATGGGGCAGTCAATGGTGCACACAGAGAGGCAATGCACTCATGGATAGTGGGCGTGAGAGAAACAGTGGGCATGGCATGAGGGGCGAGAGGCAACGCACAGGTGGCCGCTGGCGATGGAGAAGATGTTGATTGTGCTGTTGGCAGCTGCCCCCTCGCCCTTTGCAGCCGGCTTCTGACTCACACAGTGACACAGGCACATGGGAAGTGGGGGGTTGGCGGTGTGGCAGGGAGAGGCAAGGAGCACTGATGAGGGTGAAGTGAGGATGCAGGATTGGTGAGATGCAGTCACGCAGCAGGCACACTCAAAGGTGCTGCATTACAACAGCCAGAGCACATCCCATCCCTCCTCAACCCTCCTGTGAGTGCCTGTTGCTGTCAGCCACAATCCACTCTCATCCCCCCCCACCCTACCCTGCCCTTTTTTTATCCCCACCCTGGTCTCATCCCCACCTTGCCGGTGAGCTTCTGGAAGAAAGAGCCAAAGAGAGATGCCTGGGGGAACAACAGGCGGGGCATAGAAAGGCAGGGGAGAGAGTCAATGAGCAGTGATTTACATAAGAGGCAACGAGCAGTGAGGGTGACATGCGATTTCATAAAAACAGGGGCGAGCAGCTCAAACAAGAGCAGAGAGGCCTCACCGCTGCCGCCGGCTCCGCCTGCTGCTCGTCGTCCCCATCCTCCCCCCCGGCGCCATCCAGCATCTTCTCGCCCTCCATGCCCGCCCGCTTCACCACTCTCAGCTGCACCACCTTGCCGCGCAGGTCCATCACCGCCACCTCCATCGCCACCCGCCCCACCGCCCCCATCCCCTCATCCCCCTCCTTCTCTCCGCCCCTCCCTGCCTCTGCACCACCGCCACCACTGCCCCCCAGCGCCCCCTCCCCTGCGAGTTGGTAGAGGGTCTGGGAGCGGCCGGGGGCGAGCTGCAGGAGCCAGAGGCCGGGCGCGGCCTTGAGCTGGAAGTAGCCCAGATTCGCCATCACTATCGTGTCCTCCAAGGCCGTTGACACCACCAGGCCCTGTGGCCGCCCCGCTGCCCCGTTGCTGCTGGTGGCGGCGGCGGTGGCGGGGGCGGAGGAGTGGTTGAGGAGGGCGGAGGGGACGGGCGGGGGCGTGCCGAGCACGAGCTGCATGCCCCGCGGCGGCTCCTGCATGTCCGATTCCTCGTAGCAGTGGCCTGGTGGTAGAGAGGGGGTTGTGGCGTGGTGGAGGGAGGGAGGGAGAGTTGTGGGGGCAAACAGGTATGAGCAGAGAGTAGTTGGGCCACTGCAACAAGGAAGCGGAGACACGTGGAAGAGAAAAGAAAGTGAGGACAAAACGTGACACGAGCGTGCACAGAAAAACAGTTTCGACCTATAAAACTAGCTTTCACATGCTACGAACCTGCAACCTCTCAATTACTCAACCATTTTCTACCGTCTGCGCCAAGGCATCTGCGTGCATGAGTGTGTCCACAAATCCCTCCACAGCCACCCCATGAGCATCTCGCACCACCCATGAGCACGGACCCACCAGTGATCATGAGCGCCTCAAGCTCAAAGACAGCGGCAACGCTGGGGTCCGCCACCTTCTCCAACACCAGATTGTCCAAATCATGGCTGCCCGGGCGTATGTGGGGCCAGGGTTGAGAGGGCGGATTGTGAAGGCGATGGTGATTGGGTTGGACGAGTGAACTGGGTAAGCACAAAACGCACGGAATTGTACTGATTTCTATCCTCAGTCACTTCCCAACGAAGGAGCATTCTACCCTCACCCGCTCCGCTACAGCCGGCCCCACTCACTCCGCTACAGCCGGCCCCACTCACTCCGCCACAGCCGGCCCCGCTCACTCCGCCACAGCCGGCCCCACTCACTCCGCTACAGCCGGCTCGACGAGCCAGGGCTCGGGCACTTTGAGGTTGAGAGTGAGCGTGCGCGTGAGAGGCATGTTCAGAAACTCCACCTCCGCCCCCGCTGCCAGCACCCCCGATGCATCTGCCAGCTCCTGGTGGGGGTTGAGGAAGGGGAGCGGTTGGGATGGATGTGGGATGGTGGGGAAAGAGGGAGTCGAAGAGAGATTGATGAAAAGGGCTGGAAATGGCAGGGGATAAGAGGTGGAAGCATCGTTACTAAGGAGGGAGGCGAGTGAAGTGTGGGTAAGTTGGGGTATGAGATGGTACAAGAGAGGTGGCAGACCGAGAGCACACGAGCAGATGATGGCACTTCAAGAAATGGAACGGGGCGGAGGGCAGAAGAAGAAGGGGCGAGGGAGCGTGCCTTGTGGGGAGCGGCGTATCGGTAGAAGTTCTTGAGAGGGAACTCGGAGATGGACGTCTGGCGGTCATGCACGGAGTGTGAGGGTCGGAGAGGGGATGGGGGTGACAAAACTGATCTGGAGTGGTAGACGCACAAAGAAGTTCCGACTTTGAGCACCAATGAAGCACATGGCAAAACACATTGTGTACATGGCATCAGAGAAAATGCATGGCATGCAGCACAGCACAAGGCAGGAAGAAGAGAGAAGCAGGTGGAGCAGAGGGCAAGCAGGTGGGGCACGCACGAGGGGGTTCATGAAGATGCGCAGGGAGGGGTTGAACCACTCGTGCAGCAGCAACAGCAGCGGCGTGACCTGCTGTGCCTCCGCACTGAGCGGGTCTATCACCCCATCGATGTGCAGCAGTGCCGAGTCGTTGCTGTGGATGATGCCGATGCTGGCAAGGAAACACGGGGAAGGGGCGGGAGGAGCGAGGTACGGAAGGAGAGAAAGAGGCTAAGAGGCTTATGTGTAAGACGAGAGTACTTTGGGTTGGCAGGGGGAAAGACGGGAAAGAGAGGGTGTGACGAGTGAGTTGGAAGCGGGCAAGAGGTGCAAGCAGTGAGGAACCAAGTGCTTATCCAGTGTGGAGGGTATAACGATGCTGCTGCTGGCGGATGGCAGGATGGCACGAGCACTGCACGGAGCACCTGGGGCTGGCAGTGAGGCGGGCGAGGAGAGGAGCACCTGGGGCTGGCAGTGAGGCGGGCGAGGAGAGGAGCACCTGGGGCTGGCAGTGAGGCGGGCGAGGAGAGGAGCACCTGGGGCTGGCAGTGAGGCGGGCGAGGAGAGGAGCACCTGGGGCTGGCAGTGAGGCGGGCGAGGAGAGGAGCACCTGGGGCTGGCAGTGAGGCGGGCGAGGAGAGGAGCACCTGGGGCTGGCAGTGAGGCGGGCGAGGAGAGGAGCACCTGGGGCTGGCAGTGAGGCGGGCGAGGAGAGGAGCACCTGGGGCTGGCAGTGAGGCGGGCGAGGAGAGGAGCACCTGGGGCTGGCAGTGAGGCGGGCGAGGAGAGGAGCACCTGGGGCTGGCAGTGAGGCGGGCGAGGAGAGGAGCACCTGGGGCTGGCAGTGAGGCGGGCGAGGAGAGGAGCACCTGGGGCTGGCAGTGAGGCGGGCGAGGAGAGGAGCACCTGGGGCTGGCAGTGAGGCGGGCGAACTGCACGTAGTCACCGCTGGCCCTCTCTGCTGATGACAGCGCTGATGCCACCACCATCGCCATGCCCGACACGTGGTCACTGCATGAGGGGCGGGTGGGGTGGGTGGGTGGGTGGGTGGGTGGGTGGGTGGGTGGGTGGGTGGGTGGGTGGGTGGGTGGGTGGGTGGGTGGGTGGGTGGGTGGGTGGGTGGGTGGGTGGGTGGGTGGGTGGGTGGGTGGGTGGGTGGGCGGGTGGGTGGGTGGGTGGGTGGGTGGGTGGGTGGGTGGGTGGGTGGGTGGGTGGGAGGTGCATGATATGGATAGCGGGATGTAATGCAAAGTGTAGGTAACAGGTATGTTGAGCACCAAATGGCCATCCAAAGTCCTTACAAGCATGCATGTGAAGACGACCACACGTGGAATATCAACAGTCAGTGCCACGCAATGCACACTGCATACCAAAGGATGTCAAATAAATCTGCAATGTCAAATAAATCTGCAAGAACGAACATGCAAGTTGCCCTCACACGCCCTACCGTGCCTGCGCCAGTCCCGCTCGCACCTGAGAGGGAGGTCGGGCGGGAGGTGCGGCCAGGAGGGCAGGTCCTGCAGCACGGAGAGCGCTGGCTTAACTCGCTTTGACTCCACCTCCTCCAGCAGCGCAAAGTCCGCCGCCACAAAGCGGTGCTGCGGTGCCAACAGCTGGTGGGGTGAGGGGAGGGGAGAGAGGCAGATAGGGAGGGAGGGAGAGGGCGAGAGGGCAGGTGCTTCATGGTGCACGTGGCGAGGAGGAAGGTGGAGACATGCAGGGTGGTGGGTGCATGCAAGGTGGTTCGGATGGATATGCATGGAGTGAGAGCGAGTGAGGTGTGCATAAGTGAATGCGAGAGAAAGGGCAAGGGAGGAGGTAAGAGAAGGAATGAAAGAATGGTGGAATACGGGAGGAAGGAGCAGGGTGCACGCACCCTGCCATTGGTGATGATGACGCTGCTGCCCGGGCTGGCGCCGCAATGCTGCTTCACAAAGAGTCGATCCTGCCAAGCAGAGCAGATGGGATGGGACAGAGAATGAGACGGACCGTGTGTAAAGCACATGAAAGCGACGAAAAGAGCAGTGGCACTGCTGCTCCTAACGACATAAAAGTCAGAGACATGGAGATTTGCGCAGCAGGGAGCCACCTCTCTGCTCTCCCCAGCAGGGCCTCACCTGGGCCATGTGCGCAGCAGCAGCCTCTGCAGCGCCAGCGCCCGTCACAGCACGCTCCAACTCGGCCCTGTTCAGCCCTGCCTCGTCAGCAATGCTCCATGCTGACGCCAGCAGCTCCAGACCTTCCTTCTCGCTCCTCACCTCCCCCCTGCCGGCCCACCCCTCCTCCTCGGTGCCTGAGTGTGTCCGCGAGACCACGGTCCTGAGCAGTGGCAGCTGCAGCAGGCTGCGCAGGAAGGCTGGGAGCTTGCTGCGGCGACTGGTAGGCATGGGGCATGTTGGGGGGGAGGAGCACGGAGGAGAGAGAACAGGAGGCTAATTGGGCAGTCGGTGGAATAGGGGGGAGGAAAGGGTGGGGTTAGAGGGAGGCGAATTAGAGCAAGGACGTGAATGGATAAGAGGCAAGACATGACATGAGGCGAGCGGCAGCAGTGTGTCAACATGCACTGGTTGCTTCATTGAAGCGGGGTGCAGCAGGCGTGTGAGCTGACCTGGGCATCTGCACGGCCGCCATGATGAGGCGCGGCACGAGGTGGCGCCATGCGAGAGGTGGCAGGCGGGCATCGGCGGTGGCGGGGGCATGCAGGGGGTTGTGCAGAACGGCCACTCGGGCATGTGTGCCCTCCTCGCTCTCCTGCCATGATTGCATGGCGAAGGGTGGGTGGGCAGTAGCGGGAAGATGGACGGATGGTAGGCATGAGGGCAGGTGCACGGCATGAGCACAGCCAGGCGTGATAGACGACTGCTCACACACACTCGCATGCTGTACATCATTCCAGGTGCAGTGCGGTATTACCAGGTGCAGCACGGCTTGCAGCAGTAGGTCCACCCCTTGGTGCGATGAGAGGTCCAGCGCGAGCAGGTGAGAGAAGGGCTTCACCTCGTCCTCCGCTGCTCACCACTCCACACCCACACACACAACAGCAGGGCACACGACACCAAGGAACGTGCAGACACACATGTGGCGATACAGACAGGAAGTGGGGGCAAGGCAATGCCGGGCAGGTACGAAACGATGGCGCATGAAGTGAGGCAGGGCAAGTCAAAGGCGCAGGAAGGGCAGTGTCAAAGTTTCAGTGGCAGCGGCGAGGGAGGGGCAAGGAGGGGGGGACTCACTGCCGGGCGAGTGCAGGAAGGAGAGGCGCGTGAGCGCGGGGTTGTCAGCAGCCATGGGAGGCGCCAGGGACACGTAGGGCGCTGTCTTGCCAGCTGGCAGGGCCACCTGTGGGTGAGGGGGGGGGGGGAGGAAGACGAGTGCGAGGCAGAGAGAGAAATAATTAGATCTTGCTTCAGGAGGGGAAACAGGTGGCGTGCACAAGTGATGGGCTGGCAAGGGCTCTTGATGCAGTAGGTAGCAGGCGGCACATGGCCAGCAGGGAGGGCAGAGAGGAGCCGTGCACGGGAGGGCGAGGGAACGAGCGAAGGGCACTGGCCTCGGGGTTGAAGCGCTTGGCAGCGGAGGCGAGGAAGAAGGCGAGGACGTCAGAGGAGCCTCTGATCTGCTGGTAGTACACAGCCCGCTGCACCGCCTCCATCTCCTCCTGCATCGCCTCCAGTGCGCCCCCTGGCACCTGCCATAGCCGTGCCGTGCAGTGCGGTAGTGAGGGGGAGTGGAGAGCAAGAGAAAACGCGAGGGTTGGTGGGACTGATGGGGTGCATCAAGCTTGGAGCCTCCTCAGTGGAAATCGCTGAACGAGGGTACAGCAGGACACGGGCAGATGCAGAGAAGCAGGGGCAGGTGTCATGCCACCTTGGGCGAGGGGTAGAAGACGCCGTTGAAGAGCAGGCATGGCATGGCGTCTGCAAGGCCAAGCCCCGACACAAAGCGAGAGCTGCCCACCACCTGCGCCCACACTGCTGCCGCCGCCCCTCCCCCTCCTGCTCCCCCCTGCTCCCCTCCGCCCTCCTCACTGTCAGCATCCCCCCCCTCCACCCGCTGTCTTGCTGCCAGCACTGATGCCAGCGCAGCCCTCCTGGCGTCGTCGCTGCCCAGCGATCCCCCCTGTGACACGGCTGCTGCCGCACTGGTGGGCGCAGAGAGGGAGATTACGGAAGAAGACGAGAAGTAGACGAGTGGAGAGCCATGACGTTAAGGTTTGGGGGAGTGAGATGGAGCGATGTGAGTGACGTGATGCAGATGAGGGCCCACCATATGGCCCATGCAATGCATTCCTGATGCAGGAAGAATCATTGTAATTATTATGCTCCTCTACCCATTGCACGCATCCCATCCCATCACATCGCACCACCCCACACCACACCAAACCACACCAAACCACACCACACCGCTCTCCCACGCCCACCTGAGCGTGTGGAGGAAGGCGGCCTCCATGGTGGGCTGGTCGGGCGGTGTGTACTGCGGGAGCGGCAGCGTGACCATGGCGTCCTCGTAGTCGTCCACCGATTCGTCCGCTCCACTGCCTCCCCACATCTGATGGGGAGATGAGCGAGTGAGGGAGAGGAGGCGAGAGAAGGCAGTGTAGGCAAGCAAGGACGTGAGGACCAGTGCCGGACAGAAACGAAGAAGATGCAGAAGCAAGTGTGTAAAGAAGGGGGAGTTGGGGGAGGGGCAAGGGAAAAGTGGCGAGGAGGAAGCGTGCACGCGTGGGGGAGGGCGGGTGAGCTGACCGAGAGAAGGAAGTCGAAGGCGGGGCGGACGCCGACAGAGTCCTTGATGTGCAGGAAGAGCGCCATGGCCTGTGTGGCGTGCATGGATGCGTGCATGGGGTGGGATGGGCATGCATAACACGGAGGAAGGATGTGGACGGCGAACCAGAAAGGACAATCAGCCTGGCATAAGCAAACAGGTGGGCAAGGAGGAAAGGTGTTAACAGCAAAGATACGGACGGATTGATCAGCAAATGCTGCGGGAGAGGGCGAGAGGGAGAGGGGAGGGGCGAGAGCAGGAGAGCTGGGGGTGTGACATGGGTGCGGGCAGGAGGGCGCCGCACCAGTTCGGAGAGGTCATGGTGGGGCGGAGGGGCGGAGGGGTCGTTGAGGGTGAGGAGGCGCGCGGAGGAGGCGAGGATGACCCCCATGCGGAGGGGCATGCTGCCCCGATGCAGCTTGTGGATGTGCGCCACTGCCTGTGGGGGGGGGGGAGTGGGGGGGAGAAAGGGGGAGAAATGGGGAGAAAGGGGGAGAAAGGGGGAGAAAGGGGGAGAAAGGGGGAGAAAGGGGGAAGGAGCGACGGGTAGAGAGGAGGTTGGAGAGTGGTGGGGACAGACGGTGATATCAACCAGCTGAGCAGAGGGCAGGACAATGCAAGCGGAAAGGAACGGGGGACATGAAAGGAGGCACCTAGGGGGGTACATGGCATGGCAGTACCCACCTTTGGTGTGGAAGGGTGCATGGGGTCGAGCACGAAGACAGCATGGAATATGTTCTTGCGGATGGGACGGAACTGGCCTGGGTACATGGGCATCAGCAGCTGCCACCACATGCACACACGCACACATGCACATGAACACACACAAACTTGAAAAGCAACATGGAGTTGAAAAAGAGTTGCATGCTTGAGTTGAGAGCACAGAATAGCACACGTTTGAGCAATGCTACGGACTAATAAGGATAAGGTGAAGCTGGTGGACACATAAGGGGCTGTCAAGGTGATGAGCAGGAGTGGGCAGTGCAGCAGCATGCAGTGAGAGCACGTCCAGCGCACCTCATGCATGTTGGGCGACCAGCCGCGGTACTCGCGGTCTCGCTCAAGGTCATTGAAGAAGTGCACGTGCCACGGCGACCGGAAGTCCAGCCGCGGCGATCCCCCCTCCTCCCGCGCCGCCGATGCCGGTGGCAGATGCAGCAGCTGCCGCACCACTGGCGCTGGCAGCTGGTGGGTGGCGAGGGGGGTGCACGGGGAGACAGGGCATGAGGAAATAGGGATGGCAAGAGAGACGGGGGGGGTGATGGTAGGCGAGAGTAGAAACCTGGGGAGAAGACTCGTAGATGGTGGGGGGGAGGCAGGGCGAGGCCAGCGAGAAATGGCCAGTGCAGCTGCATACAGCTGACACAGCAAGCAGTGAGAAAAAGGACGGCTCACCTTGAGAGAGAGCAGCTGTGCTCCAAGCGACAGCTCGGCCTGCACGGCTTCCAACAGACTGGTGTGCGCGGAGGGGGAGAGAACAGGCGAGTGGGAGCGAGAGATGAATATATAAGAGCTGCTGCAGGAATAGAGATGCGCACATGACCGGCACAGGCAGGGGTGGTGTGAGGTACTGAGTGGTGTGTGCTAGTGAGTGGCGGGAGGAGCGTGGGTCTGTACGTGAAGATGTCGAGGGTGGCGAGGTTGAATGCGATGCTGTTGAGTGCCACGATGGTGCGCCCCGCCTGCACCATGCCGTGCATCTCCTGCACCGCCTCCTCCACCGTGCTGTCCACCTGCTCGCATTCACTCATAGCACGAGGCACAAACACGGGTGAGCACCGGGCAGGAGGTTGACGCCAAGGGGATGGTAGAAAGCAAGGAAACAGGCAGAAATTAAAAGGAGGGGCGATAGGGAGGGAAAGAAGGCATGGCACAAGCAAGCAGAGCATTGCAACACAATGTATTGGAGACCTTTGTCATCGGCACAAGGAGGGAATGGTGAGCGAGCAGCGCGTGCCTTGGTCTTGGCGAGGGAGGCCATGATTTTGGGGAAGTTCTGGTTGATGTCCTGCATCAGCCGCAGAGGCTCTGCTCCCCCCACAATGCGCTGAGTGGCCTGAATGCCCAGGTCTGGGGGGCAGTGTGAGCGGGAGGATACATGTGTCAGCACAGCACATACATATGGAGGCTGCCACACCAGAAGCTAGCTAGCCTCTGCTGCCCAACGCTTTGCAAGCTAGCTATTACCCCTCTCTGGTTGGGCTGGTCTACACACACTTACTAACTGCACTTGGTTGGTACCTTGGAGAACACCCTTACAATTGCACTGCACACTTCTTTTCTCCCACACGTTGTACCTTTGAGCTCCCACACGTTGTACCTTTGAGCTCCCACACGTTGTACCTTTGAGCTCCCACACGTTGTACCTTTGAGCTCCCACACGTTGTACCTTTGAGCTCCCACACGTTGTACCTTTGAGCTCCCACACGTTGTACCTTTGAGCTCCCACACGTTGTACCTTTGAGCTCCCACACGTTGTACCTTTGAGCTCCCACACGTTGTACCTTTGAGCTCCCACACGTTGTACCTTTGAGCTCCCACACGTTGTACCTTTGAGCTCCCACACGTTGTACCTTTGAGCTCCCACACGTTGTACCTTTGAGCTCCCACACGTTGTACCTTTGAGCTCCCACACGTTGTACCTTTGAGCTCCCACACGTTGTACCTTTGAGCTCCCACACGTTGTACCTTTGAGCTCCCACACGTTGTACCTTTGAGCTCCCACACGTTGTACCTTTGAGCTCCCACACGTTGTAACCTTTGAGCTCCCACACGTTGTACCTTTGAGCTCCCACACGTTGTACCTTTGAGCTCCCACACGTTGTACCTTTGAGCTCCCACACGTTGTACCTTTGAGCTCCCACACGTTGTACCTTTGAGCTCCCACACGTTGTACCTTTGAGCTCCCACACGTTGTACCTTTGAGCTCCCACACGTTGTACCTTTGAGCTCCCACACGTTGTACCTTTGAGCTCCCACACGTTGTACCTTTGAGCTCCCACACGTTGTACCTTTGAGCTCCCGCACGTTGTACCTTTGAGCTCCCGCACGTTGTACCTTTGAGCTCCCACACGTTGTACCTTTGAGCTCCCACACGTTGTACTCGTCGCGGATCTCCTCTGCTGCCAGCAGCTGGTCGCGAAACGTCAGCAGCTCGCCCGTCTGCTCAGGGTACCGTTGCTGGCGGAGGAGAGAGGGGGAAATGGAGGAGGAACAGGAGGAACACGGGCAAGATGGCATGGGCGCATAGTGAAGGGGATGCATGTGTGCAAGGGAGTCGAGAGAGATGACACGATAAGGCACGCGGTTGACAGCAATAGCTGAGGATGCAATGCCACTTACATGTGAAAGTTCCTCACAACAGATGACTATGAAAAGGAATGAGAAGCATGTGCGTGAAAAGAGCAGCCATTGACGGACTGACCACAAGGGTGTGGAAGAGAAAGCCCTTCACTGGCTGCGCCAAGTCATCAGCCGACCCCTCTGCTGCTGCCTGCCCTGCACCGTCTGCGTGCCACACACATGGCCATCCATGCCGCACACATCCAAAGCAATGCAATGCATAGTGCTCAGCTCACATGAACATGCATGGTGCAGAGGCGATCTCGTGGGTATTCACAAGGCGATCGCCCCATGGAGCAAGGGCCATTGACAGCGCCACAGAGAGCAAAGTGGGAATCATTGCAAGCAACAAATTATCTGGCCATGCCGCGCCAGCCACCACATACCGCATCACCCAGCTGCTTGTGCTCCAAGCAGCAATGGGAGGGAGAGAGGGAGGGGACACAGGGCGGACCTTTGTGGAGCTTGCTGTCATCAAGCGCCTTGTACTCCATGTTCTTCAGCGCCAGCTCCACTCCGTACCCGCCCAGACTCACCCGCCCGCCCGCCCCCACCGCCGCACACCGCTCCACGTGCTGCTCACAGCCCGCTGGCAGCACCGGCCGCAGCACCAGGCGGATGGCGCCCTGCCGCACGGGCGGTGAAAGGAGGGAGGGAAAGGGGGCGGGGGCAGATGTGGTTGAGCAGAAAGATTTTTGGAAAAGAAGAGTGACCGATGAAACGGGACGGGAAGGCAAGGGAAGAGGGAGGGAGGGAACGAGAGAACAAAGTAGAGGACCGCACTACACAAGACTATGCTAGCAGGGCTGACGAGCAGTACACGTGCAGCACAAGCAGAAGCGTTACTGGTGTGCAGCAGCGTTACCTGGTGTGCAGCAGCGGAGAGGAGGGGCAGCAGGGCAGCGAAGCAGGCAGAGCCGGGGCTGGCATAGAGGAAGGCGGGGGGGGGCGCGTGGTGCGAGGCTGCGGCGGCAGAGGCGGAGGGGTACACGTGGTCGAAGGCGTGCACCGCCGCCCCGTGCTCCGCTGCTGGCGCGGCCGATGGGGCGCTGGCACCACGATGAGGGGAGGGCAGTGCGGTGCAGCAAGAGCGGGAGGGGAGGGCGCGATTGAGGGAGGTGATGCGAGGCGGGGTCACACTGATGAGGATGCTGATAAGACACAGAGTAGAGTGAGTGCTGATGGGAGCAAAGCGAGTGACACTAAGAGTGGGATGGGAGGGACGGATGCATGCATGGATTGTGAAGGGTAGAGATGTGCGAGTGAGGGACGGTGAGCGAGGTGAAGGGTCAACCATCGCAGGCACAGGGCAGAGGCCAGTCCCGTCCAGAGGGAACCCTCACCTTTCCTCCGCCTGCACTGGTGCCAGTGCCGCCGCCACTTCCGCCTCCCCCAGCAGCACCTTCCCCTGCAGCTCCACCCAGCAGCAGTGACCCTTGGGCGCCGCTGGGTTCTCACTCACCCGCCACCTCTCGCCCCCATCGCCCCCCCCTGCGCCCCACCCCGCCTGCTCCCCTTCCGCAGTTCCCTCCTGCGCGCCGTGGGGGCCCAGCAGCCCCGCCTGCGAGAGCGAGAGGCGCGCGAGCTGGCGGTGCAGGAGCAGCGCGGGCGAGAGCGAGCGCATGGCGAGCGCCAGGCGCAGCAGCGGCGCTAGGGGGGGCGCGAGGAACGACGAGGCGACGCGCAGCAGCGCGTCCAGGCAGTCGCCGTCGGACGGGGACGGCGCGGCGGAAGCGGGGCGCGCGGAGGAGTTGGCATCGGGCGACGCGTGCGGCCAGGCGGCGAGGAACTTCCAGTAGAGAGCCGCGTCCTCGCGCGCTAAGAATTCGCTGGCGATGGGTCGATGCAGGGGGACAGGGGGAGAGAGGGGGAGAGTGAGGAGGGAATATACGGGCATCAATTCAGCATCCCACAAGGAATGTGCAAGGACAGCTTATGTTTCACCACTCAGGAAATTGAGCAACGGGCCAGCAATCCCAACAAAAACGTAGGACATTCGGCACTGTTCCAGCGAGGTACGGCGGGAAAAAGACAAAATTGACAACGGCGATGTAGCGAGCCGAAGTGGGCCGATTCGGCAACGAGGATTCATACACCAAGCAAGCAGCGTCGCGGTTTTTAGAAAGGCTCAGGACAGCTAGGCATCGCAAGAAGGATAAGGTAAGCCTGGCGAGCGACCGCAGACGAATCGCAGTAGCGCGGCTCCACCAAGCACCCCCCCTTGGATCACGCATCTTGTCATAACGATGGTTGCATGCCACTCCACCGAGTGAGGTGCGCTGCTGAAGTCGCGCGTAGGCGGAAAGCTCCGAAAACTACAAGATCTGGCATCACCAAGGCGACTCACCCTGCCTCTAGAAGGAGTGGTGTTCCCTCCCACTTGGCGCGCAGCGAAATGCTGATTGGCTTCGGCTTGGTCGCGTCCGACCCAGTCGCAGCAACGACAACAAGAACAAGGATCGCCCAAAAAGGCATTCTGGCAATTCGTCGAGTCCACGAAGCTGTCTGCACTCCTGGCGGTGAGGTCGGCGAGCCTAAAGCGCCACGGACGGGCGGCATGCTGACGAACGAAGGTACACAGGTCCCGAATCAGGGATCTAGGCATCTGAAGAATGATCACTGGTCCCCGAATCAGCCAGATCACAAAACCGTGCAGTCGTTCCGTAACAGCGGCCTCTCTATCGCTTACAATCACAAAAGCAAAGACATGCTTAGTTAGCGTATCTTATTTTCACATTGAATGCTATCACAAATAATCTCATAACCAATATATCATCAGGTATCACTTTTACACACTAACATATTCTTTGTTAAGGTTGCAATACATCATAATGTCAACATCCACAGTCATAACTGATTGGAGGAAGGGGACGGGAATATTAGATGTCTACGCAACCCAACCCTTCTTTACATGAAGCTATGGAAGCTTGATAAGAGTATTCGATCAAGTGAATTGAGACTGTCACTTTCTCAGCGACATCTCGTGCCTACCAGGTTTTTGTCAGAATATTTTATATATATATATATATATATATTTTGTATAAGTGCATGTAGTTCTAGCTGTAGTGTAGTCACATAGGTGTTCTCTGTGGTGCTGCACCACTCCTTGCATGCTTCTCCTCTATTTGTACTTCTCATTCTATAGTACAACCCCTCTTTTGCTTGGACAACTTTGCCTTGCCTATGTTAAACCCTAGACTACTAGTCCTAGCTATGTCTACTATTTCAACATGGTATTAGAGCACATCGATCCTGTGCCTACTATGCTTCCGCTGTTGTCTTGTCTGTCGCGCACCCCCTGGCGCGCGACGTTTTTTCTTCCCGCCACGCGCTCGGGGCGCGTGGCGGTTTTCTGCCCGTCACGCGCTCGAGGCGCGTGGCGGTTGTCAGTAGAGCTACACTGTGAGATCCCCGATCGATCCTAGGGGGGGTTACAGGCGCGTTTGCCTGGGGGGTTATGGGCGCACTGACCCGCTACTGAAATAAGCCATTTTATCCCAATGGTCTAGTGGTTGGGATTCTGACATGGTATCAGAGCGGGCGGTCTCGGGTTCGATTCCCGGTGTATGCACATGTAGGCTGGTGCCGCTGTGCTTAGTCCTGGGCCTCCCAGTGTGGGGGGGTGTCAGTAGAGCTACACTGTGAGATCCCCGATCGATCCTAGGGGGGGTTACAGGCGCGTTTGCCTGGGGGGTTATGGGCGCACTGACCCGCTACTGAAATAAGCCCTTTTATCCCAATTGTCTAGTGGTTGGGATTCTGACAGCGGTTTCCTGCCAGGGCTCTCGCTAGGTTTTGGGGCTGTCTGACAGTACCCTGAATTTTTTTTTCCCCGTCTTACGCTCGGACGACGAAATTTACATGGTCTGCATTATAAGCTGGACTAGTTTTTCTAGTCTGATAAATAAGACGAAAAAAAAATCCTGTTAAAAGTCAACCTACTGTAATCCTACCAGCATGTCTACTCATACTACCTAACAACCTAGCTGCAGTAGCAAAGGACTTAGTCAGAGTCACTAGAGCCGTACACTTCATTGCTATCAGTATCATCCTCGCTAACCACTGACTCTGGGACAGTGGCCCTTTCTTTCCTACTAAGCCACGGGTACTCAGCATCCATCCTTGCTGCTTCTGCTGCTAGGGCCGCTTCTCGAGCAGCCGCTTCTGTTGCTGCCAGTGCTGCTGCTGCTGCTGCTGCAGCTGCGGCCGATCTTTTCTTCGCACGCTTGCTCGGTCTCTCCCCGGACGCTATCAGCACATCATTCGCAGGCCTGCGCTTCTTGGAAGCATTCCACCTCCTCAGTAACTCGGGCCACTCCATGTCGTAGTTAAGGAGCGAGACGGCCATCAGCTTTCCTAGCTTCGCGTCGCACAGGTTCCCGCGAAGCCAGCTTTTGATGATGTTCTGCCGTGAAAAGCCGCGCTCACACTCGACGGTACTGAGCGGAAGCACGGCGACGGCCATCCACAGGTGGACAAGGTTCGGGTAGCATGTCGCCCAGTCGGGGGAGGACAGCATGAGCTTAAGGCCGTCCGCAAACCCAACATCCTCCTGGTGTGAGGCCATGATTGTGGAAAAGGTGATGATCTCCCTCTGCGCTCTCGCCCAGTTGATGCCTGCGGTTGGGGTGCGCATGGGGACAGTGAGACAGGAGATCATAAAGGGTTGAAACATGCAGCTGAAAGAGAATTCTGAAGACTATAGCAGCACATTCCCGGCATTTGACGCACCTGGTAGAGTATCATGGTCTTCTGACTTCTTCTTGAACATGTTGCGCAGAGACTGGAGCCATTGGCCTAGCCTTCGCTCACGCTTTGCCTGGTTCTTGGGATACGATCCCTGCTTGAACAGCTTCGCCCCGTCGAGGTGTGAAAGATCCTTGAGGCGGTAGTCGAGCCGACCAACCAAGGTCGTGATGAACTCGCGCGCCAGCCCTAAACACGCTTGGTGGTCCACACCACTTTTCTGCCCCTTGATTTTCTCCTCGTGCAGTCGGTATCGATGGCTGACCGATGTGCCGTCGGAAGCTGTGCCAGCAACGAGGACCTCACGGAACTCCCCTGATGCGTGCTTGTCAAGGAACGGGCCCAACGCGTTTCCACCTTGGCCAAAAGTCGCGTCGTCGCAGTCGAGGTAACGTGTGCGCAGCAGTAAGGTGGTGTTGTGCACCATCGGCAGCACATGGGTTGCGTCGACCTGTAAACGGGGCTGCAACAGCAGGATGTTATTAAAAGTAAAGTAAAACAACAAACAGTAAGTTGAGAAACGTGCTCACCTGGCGCCGCTGAAACTTCAAGCTGAGAAGGTTGAGCTCCTTCAGGACATCAGCAAGGAAGAACAGCAGGAAATGGAATTTGTAGCTCGTTACGACTTGATACATCTTCTTGTTTGTCTCGTGCAAGACCATCACTGCTGCAGGAAACACCTTCACCAGGCGCTGGATGGCGTCACTACGAGACAACCATCGGACGTCCTTGATGCCTTGGACTTCGAGGTGGGTCTCGCAAATGACCTCCTGAAGCTCTTGAAAGCGGGCGTGATTAACAGAAGAGCGACCAAGGTTCTCTGCTACGGCACGGACCACCTTGTCCACGATGTTGAAGTCCGGATGCGCGGTGGCAGCATCCTTGGCCGCCAAGGCCTCCCTGCAAGACAACGGAACGTAACATTAGCACGGGTTTTTTTTTTTTTTTTTTTTTTTTTTTTTTTTTTTTTTTTTTTAAGTATGGAAAACACGAAGCAACAAACTTACCTCTGCGCAATGCAGGGGGACGACACAAGATGAGGAACCTTGACTTTGAGGCGCGCTGTGACTCTGTTGTGCTGTCCAAGCATGACGGAAGCACCATCAGTGCTCATACCGGTGAGGCGCATCAGGTCGATGCCGGTACTCTCCAGATGAGTCAAGAGAACTGTAGTGAGTGACGCGGCGTCACACTGATCCATAGTGAGCAAGGCGAAGAACTCAGTGACGGGAGCGTTGTCAAACATGAACGTCAAATAGATGATCATGTGTTTCCCCCGCCGTCGGTCGGTGCTCTCGTCCAACTGGATGCCAAGGTACGGACTATCGCGGATGTGTTTCAGCTGGCGGGACTTCAGGTAGCACACCATGGTCTCGACCAGTTGTTCGAAGCTGTACCTGAGACACGCGGGGTTAAAACTCGTTAGTATTGTAAACCCACGGAACACAAAGCAGAAGTTTTGAACGGGACACTTACTCGCTGTAGTACGTCCCGTTCTCCTTAAGGGGCGGATCCGGAGTCCCCTGCTCTGCCATGAATTGAACCAAAGCCACGAATAGCACAATGGGAGCGTCAGACTTGCGAATGAATAACACGATAGCCATCAAGCGAGCAAGACGCTTGACATCATCGTCCCCCGGTGGAAGTCAGCAATGGACTTCTGCACTTTCTTCACGCCGTCGCGCTCCTCCTTCCTCAAGACCGCGGCCTCATGTTTCAGACTGTGGTGATGCTTGCGCATCGTCTGCTTCTGAATGTCGATGCCACCATCGCCGTTGCGCCCGTATTTGTAGTTGGGGTTCCCGAAGACCATGCTGACGCTGCAGCGCATGCAGGGGCGGCCGAACTTGTTTTCGGAGATGAGAAGCCAAGGAAAATACCGCTGCCACTGCTGCTTGCACTTCAACTGAAGCTCCTCAACCAACAGCTGCTTGCCTTTCGGATCTTCGAAGTCTTCATTCGTGGGTTCAGGCTCTGCGGGAGGCGGAAGAACTGACGGTGCTGGCTGAGTCGGACCGCCCGGACGTCCGACGGTGAGAACCCGCTGCTTATACCGCTTCTTTAATGATCTCTCGGGCAAGACGGGGTTAGCACTGAGAGAGGTAGTAGCGACAGATACTGCAGGGATGCTCTTATTTGCACCGTTGTCTGGCATCCGAGAAGTTACTAGCGTAGTAGGGGTAGCGGTTGATGGCACGGAATGGTCGCCATTTACCGAGATTGGAGCATCGCCTTCGGGCAAAGGGACCGCAGCAGAGGTCAACGCAATCGGTGGGGCAACAGAAGCGATCTGCTTGCCCCGCGTTAGGAAGTCTAACGCCGTAAGCACGGGCTCCGCATTGCATGGTCCGCCGGCGGGGACGGCCATAGTCTAAACGCTGGGAAAACAGACGCTGGGAGGGATACGGTCCATGCTCGGCTGAGTGAGAGTTGAGGACAAGCAGGAGAAACAGGCTTGTTTTCAAGCCTCACCCAGCTGCATGAAACCCCATCACCGTGCACTGCATTCAGAACCGAAAGGCGCTGCATGTTGGGAGCGGGGGGCACTACGACCACAGTGCAATGTTGCGTGACGTCTAGGAAATGCAAATGCGCTGGCAGTGGCACAACAGGACAACGCATTGCCGTGGCTATGGCTGGCGTCGGCGCCGGCAGCCAGCCACACGACAAACTCCTGGCAGCATATGCCGCAGTTACATGACAGCGAGGCTGCTATAAGACACGCGTAT